CAAAAATGCATTAACAACAAATTAAAAAATACAGTTTTGCATTAAAAATATAATAACATGCATTTTTTTGCATAAATAATCTATCAACATACAATTTTTTCAACAAAAACTTTAACAATAAAAATTAAAAATATGGTTTAATACCTCATGATAATAAAAACTTGGTCACTATTTTCACATCTTTTCGAAAAATCACAATTTTTCAAAAAAATCGATCATGTATTAAAAAAAAAACAAATAAAAAGCAATTCTTCACAGAGCCACCTAACATCAGTCATTCCAACTAAAAAATGCATTAACAACAAATTAAAAAAATACAGTTTTGCATTAAAAATATAATAACATGCATTGCATAAATAATCTATCAACATTTAATTTTTCAACAAAAACTTTAACAATAAAAATTAAAAATATGATTTAATACCTCATGATAATCAAAACCTGGTCACGATTTTCACATCTTTTAGAAAATTATCATTTTTCAAAAAATTCGACCATGGATAAATAAAATAAAATAAAAGTACAGCAAACTCAAACAATAAACATTAAAAAATATGGTTTACTACCTCATGATAATCAAAACATTGTCGCGATTTTCACATCTTTTCGAAAAATCACAAATTTTCAAAAAATTTGATCATGGATTACAACAAAAAAAAAAAAAAAATACTGTTCTTCACAGAGCCACTTTACATCAGCCATTTCAACTCAAAAATTCCACCTCCAAACGAATAAATTACATCCAATTAAGTACATGTTTTGATAAACAACACTATAAGGAATCAAAACCCTAAATTATAAACACATTATCATCAATAAATCAAATCAAATCGATTAAATTGAGCAAAAAAACAAAAAAACGCAGTTATTCATAGACAACAGTCATTGAATCTAAAAAATGAAGCTCAAATTGAATAAACCAGATCAAATTGAATACATTTGATTATAAACAAGATTATAACGATTCAAAACCCTAGAAATCTAACACATTATTTTGTAATATATCGTGAACAATAGAACGAAAGGCGGAAAAAAAAAAAAAAAGCATAATTTTTTTTTTCACAGACATCACTCTGTTCTTCTAAAAACTCAGGCTGTAATTGAGTAAATTAAATAAAATGGAATATGGTAAATGATAAAAGGCACGATAAAGATTTAAAACCCTACAAATTTAACTGATTATTTTCAAAATATGGACTAAAATTGATTAAATGGTGGGAAAAAAAAAAAACGTAGAGTTCTCACCTGGTTTCGTGAACCCGTGGCTTTAATCTCCAAATTAATCTGTTTTTCTCAAAGATAATCACAAATTCGTATTAGAAATTTCTAATGAACACATTTATGATCAATATGCCTCAAACTTTTCACAGATTCATGCCTTATTTGGCATGAAACAAAACGAAAAGCGGAAACCCTAAAACCCGCAACTTTCATGATCCAAAAAATTGAAAAATTTCCGCCATGTAATGCATGAAAAGGCTGAAAAAAGCTGCATAAATCGTGAATATTCGATCACATGACAAAAAAAAGAAGAAAAATGATAAAAAAAAGACAAAAATTGAAGAAACCCATGAAGAATATTGTGCAGCCTGTGTTCTTCACGAGACTTGCCGATTCGGTACAGTGAATCGGCGATTCATTATACAGAATCGCCCGGTTCTCTCTGGAATTGAGCGATTCCGTATAAAATACCAAAAGCGGCACGGACTGTGCCGATTCCCTAGTCGAATCGAGCGAGTCCGGTTTGACTCAGTGTTTTTTAAAGCACTGCTTTGTACATGAAAACATTAATCATAAACTACCAGTTCTAAGCCTATGTCAAAGACATTGGTTTGAAACTATTAGTTTTAAACATAGAGCATTCTTAAAAATAAAAAATAAAAAAATCAAATTCTACTAATTTCAGGGATGTTAACTTAAATTTCTCAAAAAAAAAAAAAGAAAAAGAAAAAAGGGGGGCGGGGGAAAGAAGAAGAAGAATGAGGTAAGATCATATTTTTTTTCCTTAAATATTTATTAATGTGGGCTTCTT